TTCACACACACATTCACACACTGGCGATAGCAAGCTACATTGTAGCCACAGCTGCCCTGGGGCACACTGACACAGCAGTGTCAGTGTGCCCCAGGCAAATATAATTGCCAGTAAAAGAATAAAATTAAAAAGAAGGCTTCAAACAAATTGCCACTTCCCTCTGTTTGTTTCCCCACGAGCGAGAGGCTCACCAGCTGTTCGAGAGGTGTCTCACACTTTCATTTACACTCCTGTTAGATCAACATCTTCAGTTTGCCACTTAACACTTATCAAGCCAAAGCTTGAAGATTTTTAAGCATGAGACAGGTGGGACTAGTGAAAAATCAACAGCGTCACACTTACTACTTATGTAAACATGCACACTGTATATCTGCATATTGATCACAATAAATAACCAGCAGATTCCATTCTCTGCTTATTGCTAATATGCAAACCTATAAAATTCCAGTGCAGTTATGAAGACAGTTTTACCTCACTGCTACTGTTTTATAAAGTAGTATTTTTTGCTATTATTTGAATTACATCAAGGTGAGGCTATGAAACAAGTAGCTGTACCTCATGCTTGTTAACCACAGCATGTCTGCAGGAACCACAGTCCATTTGCTCTTCATGAGAAGTCCTCACTGGGCAACCGTGGCTCAGGGGGTTGGGAATCGCATCTGTAACCGGAAGGTCGCCGGTTCGATCCCTGGGCTCTCTGTCCTGGTCGTTGTGTCCCTGGGCAAGACACTTTACCCTACTTGCCTACTGGTGTTGGCCAGACGGGCCGATGGCGCGAAATGGCAGCCTCGCTTCTGTCAGTCTGTGGTTACAACTGTAGCTGCCTCCACCAGTGTGTGAATGAATAGTGGCATTGTAAAGCGCTTTGGGTGCCTTGAAAAGCGCTATATAAATCCAATCCATTATTATTATTCTCTGTGCTTTCCTGGTGAAAGCAGCAGTTTTCACCTAAGTGCTGGAGCTCATCAGTGTGGTCTCTCAGTTCAGTGATTATTTTAGCGGTTACCTTAATCACTTTAGCTTGGGTTAAATTTGATTTAACTGCTACAGTTTATCAGTCTGGGTGAACATGTATCAAAGACTCATCTGGTTCCCATTAGTGAACAACAGTTGTCTAATGCAGGTATTTACCTACACTCTTCCTGATATTAAACACTAATAAATCAAAGGTCTAGTCAGCACCTGTAGTTTTAACTTTTAGCATGAATAATGGATCGAATGTAAACATGATTTGGGGAAGGATTCAGAACTCATAAGTGAGGGATTTGGAATCCTCGGAGACCAACAAAGGTATTCTGAGTCATCAGAATTACAGCCTTAAACAGGATCTGTGAATGCACCCGTGACTAAAAAATTCCAGGGTAGTACTGTAACCAGCAATTGTGACTGGTTTTCATTTAGTACTGCAGGGGATCTGTTAGAGGAGAGCATTTTACAAAGCTCCCCCACAAATCTGCTCTAACCAGCGAGGTTGCACGTAAAACTTTTGAGCCAACAAAAGCGATGAAGTTGCCCTCAAGCAAAACACACAAATCTTCGACACCCCCTGTTGTCTTTAAATAGAGTGTTTGGGTGGAAAATATTGATTTGCAAAGCGTCCCAACTTTCCCCTTCCCATCCCTTCAAGATGTTTGAACAGAATGAAAGCAACCTGTAAAAAACATGTGTTCTCATTTCTGTGCCATCAAAGTGCACCATATTGAAAGATTTTTACCGTGAGAAGAAGATGGTGCGAGGAATCTTAGTAAAGATGGATTTAAAGCCTTTGCAGTGCCTGATGTGGGAGATTCTTGTTGTTGAGGAACCGAGCTGTCTTCATTCCTTTGCATGTGACGTAAGAACACATTCTATAAGTAAGGACAGCACAGTAAGAAGAAAAGTCTTCCAGAGGCTTAATGACGGCCACACATTCACATGTTGCTACATTAAGTCAGGCTGGGTGAAATCGTCCAATGAAGAACGGCAGAAATTCCACACCTGCTATTCATAAAAGCCGTTCGGCTCAGGCGTGTGCCTTAATCTTTTGCAGCTGCACCTTTTTAAATGCTCTAATAACTGAATTTGAGTATTTTAAACCTTGCCTTTAGTCTAGCTGTAAAACCTAGATAACTTCTAAAAGATGAAAAACATCTCTCTGTTCTCCTTTCTGGATGTTTGTTTTCAAGCTCATCGTGTTTTCATGCAAACAATTTAAAGCAGAGTGATGTAGGAGGAGAGTGTGTTGTCCTGACTCATCGCCCCTGTATGAATAAACATATTTTTGCAGTCACTTCCTCACTGGAAGTCGTGTCCACAATGAAAAGGTCATCACCGCCTGTATCAAGAAACGGCCTTTAATTTAACTTGCTGTATTAACAGCAAGGATCTTTAAAGAAATCAGTGTAATAAAAACAGAGAGCAAAATAGGATTTAAAACAAAGACTTTAACATGAATAAAACTATGGGTATAATATAACAAGTGCTTTATTTAACAGACCGGAGTTAAATTGTTTTTTGAAATATACTGAAAGCCTGTATGAGGGGTTAAATCAGTAGGTGGTTTCACTGCTGAAAAGCAGTGATGGACCAGCAGTGATCTGGCTGAAACATAAAAGGAAATGAAGTCTCTCATGTAGAGGGGAACGAAACAAACGGGTTCTATAAGGTACAGAGAGCCAGTGCAGTGTCACTGTAGTTCATTTTGTTTGTTCGTTTGTTTGCTTGTTTTCTAAATTCAACAAAAAAAAAGAATAAGTGCTGTTTATTAGTCTAAATTGGCAGTGATAAAAGCATGAAGAAATGAGGCATTGTTCTGTAGAGGTGGGAATCACCATACAACTCGCGATACGATATTATCACAATACTTAACGCACGATACGATATTATTGCGATTTTTT